ATTTCAACCCCAGAGCAAAATGAACCTTTGAAGCCGAAATCAGTCAAGGTGAAAAGACCTGTATTTGGAGGCTCCATTTGTGTCTTTCTCTGGCCGCCACTATGGCTCACCTGTTTCTCCCCATCCCAGCTAGAAGACCCAGAAAACCTCTCAGGTGTGCTGGCCTCTTCCCAGGCCCTTGTAAATGCCTATTGATATGAAGATAAAGGCCAGGTGAGAGATTCTGGAAATACTGCACTTTTACCCACAGCCCCTCTATTTTTTCTAAGAGATAATCATCCTGCCCCCACCCCTTCCCATTAGTTCTGAAGGGCTAGTCTGTGTTAGCACTGCCCATTAGTTCTGAAGGGCTAGTCTGTGTTAGCACTGCCTTGAGGCACTGGTTGAACTTTCTTTGCATAGGTATGTAGGAAACATTGAGGCAAATCTGTGTCCCATCCAAGCAAGTGGCCAGGCCTGTTTACCTTGCACTGTTCTCACTTGGTTTTTATCTGACTTTCCGTATATGTTTTTCCCTTTGTCCTTATTTTCCCAGCTGCAGACTTATTTTTTAGTTCATCTTGTATTCTATGGATCTTTGCTAACTGCCTTAATTTTGGAAGGAAGCAGTTTTAGTAAATAAAACGAAATTACTTTTGTCATGAGATAAAGTGGGTATGAAACAATTAGCATTTAATAAGTGATGTCTTTTAAGCACCCATGTACACCTGGGTCTGTCTGATGCCACGCCCCATGCTCCCTCATGTTACCATATGGAAAGGGATTCAGTTGAAACTTTTAAATTCATAAAACCAACATGGGGATTCCAGGGTGAGTTATACAGCCAAATGAAGGAAATTTAGGCAGACTGGACAGATGACTCTTTAGCAGGTATAAAGACTGCCTTCTCTGAGATGTATTCATAAATCAACTCCAACAGTGAAAGGAAATTATGGCATGAACAATCTCCTGAGGTTAGAAATGTCGTAGAAACAAGAAACTGATTACCAAGCAGTAGTGAATACACTGCAATTCTGTTATTATTTAAGTGATACATTTCCTTAGTTTACTTTGTAATTACACCTAAAGAGAAGTATGCAAGGTTTTCATAGCCATGCCTACTTCTGAATTATCTGTAACCCACGTTGCCTCGGATAGTGTTCTTGGTGCAGTCACACTGGACATCTGATTTGCTCAACGTGTAACCTCAGCCTTATGGCAGGTAGAAAGCCCAACCCCACCCTCTTCTCCCCTGCAGATGCAAAAAGAGAAAGGTGTACTTATATCCACCATTTATTGAACATCTGCTGCACACTGGCCAGGTACTTTAAAAACTTTCTGCTTTTTCTCTAATCTCCACAAGTCTAGGGAAGGCAGGCTTAGAGTTTTCTATTATGTAGTGCTAGATGTCAATCCCATCTTTGACAAGGATTTGAAATACGCTGGAACTTTTTTAAAAATTGAGTATGGAAATGGGTGCTGAGCAGAACTTACGTTAAAGTGGGACTTTTTTGTTCTTGCTGAATCCCCACTGATGAAGAAGTGCAAAAGTGGATATAAAAGCACTTTGCACTATTATATTTTTGTACAATATATAAGACTATCACCTAAATGGCATTTCAGTGGTTCAACTTTAAGGGTCTCTAATTAATAGGGTATCGTGTTTGAGCTATTCTCTAAAGTTAGAGAATCTAGAAGTTACCTTCACTAGGTGAGGAGGAAGCTAGCTGTTCTACAAGTTTGCTGGAATTAGAGCAGCATGTGTCAGAAATGGACCTTTACATCCTAGAAACACCTAGAAACACAGATAATTGGGGAGTAAATGTGGCACATTAGCAACTTAGGTAGTCTCTCTTGGATCTGAGCAGTATTTTAAATATGTAAATCTAGTTCTTAGAAATGCTGCAGTGAGGAGGCAGGAGACATGTTTACTGAGTGATAGGTGGTTAAATTCCTGGGGTGATGCCCTGATCATTTGTATTAATAGAAGGGAGCAAGTGTGTGCTTGCCATGCACTACATCTCCAAATAGATCTCATTTCAGTCCCTGCTTCTTGCTCTCATCTGCCAATGTCCTCCTCTCCCCCACAGCTTGTACTTTTTCATCAGTGTTGGGCTGTGATTCTTGGTGCCTAACAGATGCCCTGATGTCATCCAGGCAGCCCAATACCCCTCAGGTAGGCAGTGCAGGGCACTTTTGTATCTAGGTCTCGCAAGCATGTTCTGTGGAGTTTTTCCAGATCCTTGAACATTTATGGGAGAGACTAGTCTTAAAGATGTGCTGAATGGATATCCTTGTGTGGAAGGAAGGGAAAAAAAAAAACACCTCATCTAGGCTTAAGAAAAAATGAAACCTCAAGCCAGTCTCCTCCTGTTTTGTGTGTAAACATTGTGAAGTGATGATTGGGTATGATGTTTCTTAAAACATTTTAAGGGAGGGTGAGTTTTCAGAAAGTCTTTGTTTTCTGGTGATTTAGTGATGACTTTTCTGCATGTTCTCCTAAATCCATCTCATTTTGAAGTAAATTTACCATTGCCCCAACTTACAGATAACCTGGGTAAATATCTTGTTGCAGGTTAGTGGTTACAAATTATGCTTAATTAACCCGCTAATCACAGCTGAAGGTGAAGTTAAGGGCCAGGCAGGTTCTTGTAATAAAACGAAATTACTTTTGTCATGAGATAAAGTGGGTATGAAACAATTAGCATTTAATAAGTGATGTCTTTTAAGCACCCATGTACACCTGGGTCTGTCTGATGCCACGCCCCATGCTCCCTCATGTTACCATATGGAAAGGGATTCAGTTGAAACTTTTAAATTCATAAAACCAACATGGGGATTCCAGGGTGAGTTATACAGCCAAATGAAGGAAATTTAGGCAGACTGGACAGATGACTCTTTAGCAGGTATAAAGACTGCCTTCTCTGAGATGTATTCATAAATCAACTCCAACAGTGAAAGGAAATTATGGCATGAACAATCTCCTGAGGTTAGAAATGTCGTAGAAACAAGAAACTGATTACCAAGCAGTAGTGAATACACTGCAATTCTGTTATTATTTAAGTGATACATTTCCTTAGTTTACTTTGTAATTACACCTAAAGAGAAGTATGCAAGGTTTTCATAGCCATGCCTACTTCTGAATTATCTGTAACCCACGTTGCCTCGGATAGTGTTCTTGGTGCAGTCACACTGGACATCTGATTTGCTCAACGTGTAACCTCAGCCTTATGGCAGGTAGAAAGCCCAACCCCACCCTCTTCTCCCCTGCAGATGCAAAAAGAGAAAGGTGTACTTATATCCACCATTTATTGAACATCTGCTGCACACTGGCCAGGTACTTTAAAAACTTTCTGCTTTTTCTCTAATCTCCACAAGTCTAGGGAAGGCAGGCTTAGAGTTTTCTATTATGTAGTGCTAGATGTCAATCCCATCTTTGACAAGGATTTGAAATACGCTGGAACTTTTTTAAAAATTGAGTATGGAAATGGGTGCTGAGCAGAACTTACGTTAAAGTGGGACTTTTTTGTTCTTGCTGAATCCCCACTGATGAAGAAGTGCAAAAGTGGATATAAAAGCACTTTGCACTATTATATTTTTGTACAATATATAAGACTATCACCTAAATGGCATTTCAGTGGTTCAACTTTAAGGGTCTCTAATTAATAGGGTATCGTGTTTGAGCTATTCTCTAAAGTTAGAGAATCTAGAAGTTACCTTCACTAGGTGAGGAGGAAGCTAGCTGTTCTACAAGTTTGCTGGAATTAGAGCAGCATGTGTCAGAAATGGACCTTTACATCCTAGAAACACCTAGAAACACAGATAATTGGGGAGTAAATGTGGCACATTAGCAACTTAGGTAGTCTCTCTTGGATCTGAGCAGTATTTTAAATATGTAAATCTAGTTCTTAGAAATGCTGCAGTGAGGAGGCAGGAGACATGTTTACTGAGTGATAGGTGGTTAAATTCCTGGGGTGATGCCCTGATCATTTGTATTAATAGAAGGGAGCAAGTGTGTGCTTGCCATGCACTACATCTCCAAATAGATCTCATTTCAGTCCCTGCTTCTTGCTCTCATCTGCCAATGTCCTCCTCTCCCCCACAGCTTGTACTTTTTCATCAGTGTTGGGCTGTGATTCTTGGTGCCTAACAGATGCCCTGATGTCATCCAGGCAGCCCAATACCCCTCAGGTAGGCAGTGCAGGGCACTTTTGTATCTAGGTCTCGCAAGCATGTTCTGTGGAGTTTTTCCAGATCCTTGAACATTTATGGGAGAGACTAGTCTTAAAGATGTGCTGAATGGATATCCTTGTGTGGAAGGAAGGGAAAAAAAAAAACACCTCATCTAGGCTTAAGAAAAAATGAAACCTCAAGCCAGTCTCCTCCTGTTTTGTGTGTAAACATTGTGAAGTGATGATTGGGTATGATGTTTCTTAAAACATTTTAAGGGAGGGTGAGTTTTCAGAAAGTCTTTGTTTTCTGGTGATTTAGTGATGACTTTTCTGCGTGTTCTCCTAAATCCATCTCATTTTGAAGTAAATTTACCATTGCCCCAACTTACAGATAACCTGGGTAAATATCTTGTTGCAGGTTAGTGGTTACAAATTATGCTTAATTAACCCGCTAATCACAGCTGAAGGTGAAGTTAAGGGCCAGGCAGGTTCTTGATTTCTCCTCCCTTCTGTTTTAAAATGACCCTTAGCTGGAGTTAGGAAAGGGGGCAGTGGAAACCAGGGGTGGGGGAATATCAACCCTGCTGCCTTTGTACTACGTAGGAGCAGATCTGATGGCAAGTTGAGCAGGTGAGGTTGCAGCCCAAAAGCTGGGGATTTTCTGTAGGGTATGCATTTTCTGATCCCCTTCAATGCAAACAAAGTGGGACTATGAATTTTACTCTGGAATGGATGTCTTCTCCAAATTCATGTAATTAAAAAAAAATCCCTTTGGGTTTCTGTGCATCACACTGAGTGTAATGACGACGTGTCTTTGTTTTCTCCTTTCCCTCTCCTGTGGGCACATAGCACGTGTGGAGTGAGAGCGAGGACTGCCTGCCTTTCTTGCAGCTAGCACAGGATTACATCTCCTCCTGCGGCAAGAAGACGCTCCAGGAAGTCTTGGAAAAAGTCTTCAAGTCTTTCAGACCTGTAGGTGCCTGCTTGGTTTCCAAAGCCATCTTGTTTTCTACAGTGATTGTGCTTTGAATAATATGGGTTGTGGGGAAAGTGGGCAAAATCTGGGATGACTAATCGTGTTTCTCGTGTCTGCTTTGTGGCTTAAAGATAGCAGCTGGCGGGGAGGGGGAGGGCAGTGAGGGAGGGGGAGCCGGGATGTGACACAGCTGTTTGTGGCAGGGGTGGTGGTTATTTCTAGAATCTCTTGAGTTGAGAATCTCTGGTAGGGTGGGAGCAAACAGCCTTTATGAGACAACCAAGTATTCCTGTTCTCGTCCAGTAGACTTAAAATGAAAGGGCTTGGAAATGCGGAGGGGGTTCTCTTACAGTGGTAAGGCCTGTATTTGGGGACTGCCAGAGGCTATATAAAGGATGTACCTCCATGTCTGTGGGCTTGGAGAAGGATGAAATTGGATACGGCTTTTTTTCTGTTCTTTCCTCTCCTGTAGAGAGTTAGCTTCCCCCACCTCCCCCCCTTAGCATTTAGGAATCTGTATGTCTGTGGCTAGCTAATAGTTTGCATTCTAGCCGAAAAACATGTAGAGTGAATTCTCACCCTATTTGGAAGATTTTCTATTTCTCTTTGTCTTTACTGGACAAATAAAGTCAGATCACCAGTTATCAGGACATGTCACCTCGTTCCTTTCCCTGCCCATTGTAAATACTCTGCATGTTCAGTGATATTTGCACTAGAATTTCTATTTATTTCTTTTTCAAATCTTTAAAAACAGCATCTACTTTGCTGCTGAAATTTTCAAGCTATTATTTCTCTGAACATAGTAGACATGCTGTGTGGTTGCCTAACTATATCTGATATTCCAGTATTTCAAGGTTTGTTAAGTCTGTTTTGTCATTTGTTTCAACCGGTTCTCCAGTGTCTTTGGTTTTCTTGTGTGCTGGATCCTGTGTGTGCCAGTACTGTATTTGAAATTTATATATAGGAATAAATTGAGGCCTAAGATGATGGTACATTCCTCCAGAGAGGATTTCTGTCTGCTTTTGCAGGGTCTGGGGGCCCTGTCAGTCTGGGACCACCTTCAAGCAGCTCAGGAGCTATGGTTCTTGGGGCCCTCTAGGTACTGAAAAGCCAGGCTGTGGGTCTTGTTTCTCCTAGTTCATCCTCGACCTGAGGGCTGTCTTGGTCCATTTGGGCTGCTGTGACAGAATACCATAGACTCTGGGTGGCTTATAAAACAACAGAAATTTATTCCCCAAAATTCTAAGCCTGGAAAGGCCATGGGCACCGTGCCAGCTGACTTGGTGTCTGGTGAGGGCCATCTTTTTGCTATAACCTCACTAATAGAAAGATGAAAGATCTCTAGGGCCAGTTTTGTAAGGGCACTAGGCACATTTATGAGGGCTCTACCTTCATGACCTAGTCACCTCCCAAAGGCCCCACCTTCTAGTATCTAGAGGTATAGAATTTCAACATGAATTTGTGGGGACACAAACACTCAGACCATGTAAGGGTGTAGGCCTTCAGGGTCCCAGCTCAAAGTGAGAGTGTTTTATCACAGTCTGCTCCTTTAGCAGACCCTACATTTGACTGTGGTCTCCTAGCTCTGAGAGCAGGCTAGAAATGCAGTAAAGCTTCCAGTTGTTTCTTTGAGGGCCCAGCAAATGCCCTGAGGACAAAAACAGCTTTTTATGTTAGGTTTACCTCTTTAGGTTCTAGTTTGTCAATATATTTAAAAAAGCATTTCTCATATTTAATCCACTTTTTTAGTTCTCCAAGGAAGAGTTAGTCCTAATCACTTAATCCATCATTACAAGAAAAGGAATCTCAGTGGCTTTTTGTCACTCTGATTCCTATTATTTGTCCAACCAATTAATATTTTGTTTGTTAATTTTCTAAGCCTATTTGGCTCATTCAAAGTAGATTTTTTACCTGAAAGTACTATTCTATCCCTTTTCACTCATTCAGGGTATATTTGCTGAGTGCCCAGTAGGTACTTGGCACAATTTAGTGCTTTCTTCCTAGCACTTGGATCAAACAGATGACAGTCTTAGACCCCACTGAGTCTATATTCTAGTGGGGCTGGGGGTTGGGTACAACATAAATAAGTACAGCATATAATGGGTAAGTGAGAAGTACAGACGCGAAAACAAAAAAGTCAGGGAAAGGGGGGGAGACGTGTCAGAGGCGCAGGGATGTTTGATTAGGGGAGCAGGGAAGGCTTCCCAGAGAAGGCGACGTCTGAACAGAATGTGAAGGGAGGTCTGGCCATGAGGAGATCTAGGGGAGAGCCTCTGGGCAGAGAGGAGGCGACTGTGAAGGCTAGGGGAGCACCAGGGTTCAAGGAGCAAGAGAGGCCCATGTGGCCCCTGCAGAGGGGTGGGGAGAGGAGCAGGGGGTGAGTCCAAGGTGTGGAAGGGTCCTGTAGGCCACAGGAGGATGTGGGCTTTTACTTGGTGGGGTGGGGAGCCACGGGAGGAGTTTGAGCACAAGAGGGGTCTGAGTTCACTTTTTGGAAGACTCCCTGTGGCAGGCTGAGAAGAGGCTATAAGCGGGAAGAGAGGGTGGGAGCAGGGGGTCCGCGGAGGAGGCTGCTGCCAGCATCTGGCGAGGGACAGTGGGGCTTGGCCTGGGATGGACTTGGATCCTGGAGGTGCCTTGAAACACGCAACCAGACATGCTGGCGGCTTGGAAGCCGGGTGTGAGAAAAGGCAGACAAGGATGACCGCACAGTCCTTTGCCTGTGCACTGGAGGGCTGCAGGGGGAGAAGTTTAGGGATGATACGATCAGGGGCTTGGTTTTTAGACACAGCAGTATCTGAAATGCCTATTAGACATCCAAGTAGAGATACCAAAGTAGGCAGAATTTTTTAAAAAATGGGTTCCCCTGAATCTTAACCACAGAAAGAACATTAGCAAGTGATATTTGCTTGCAGTGTGCTCTCAGGGGTTGCATTCGTCAGCCTACCACCTGGCCCTCTGAGGGCATCATCTCCACTTCACGCGGGAGAGCCGCAGAACCGGCCTAACTGGAGCCGGAGAAGGTGAGCTCCCACCAAGGCTCCTGGCGCCCTTTTTCTTTACCAAGATTTGGCTGTATTTCAGCAACCAAGCAGCCACATGTAAATGGGGAAAAAATAAGTAGCCCCCAAAATCCAGATGCATAGCCGAGAGCAGTTGTACTGGCTGAATGCTTCCTTTCAGATGAAGCCGCTACGTTTTCAAAGACACATGGGTTTGATTTCGTGTTGTTGGGCTTCCGGGCTTTGTTTCTGAAGCGGAGCCTTATGCGGTGGGCGGGGAGGAGAGCAGGCCTCGCAGCCGGGACCAGAAGGGGAAGTCTCCGGGCGCCCTGGGGCTGGGCTCTTGGCCCCTCAGGGAGAGACGGTGGGCACCTGCTCAGGGTTACTGAGGGTGCAGTTCAGGGGGCTCTGGCTTCTCTGTCAGGGTGTGTCCCCAGCCAGGTGAGAGGGACGTTCCAGACCAGAAGGAAAGCCTGCTGGAGATCAGTGGGGAAACAACCCTCTCCATCACTAAAGCGTGCATTTCTTCCCACTGCCCCGTTTACCAGTTTGTTTTATGTAAGGAAACTTTGGGTAATCAGAGCAAGGGTCTCATTGCTACTGTAGTTGAAAGTATTTGTCGAAGTAACACTCAAATACTATAAGGTTATCAGGCAGACAAACTGAAGTTTACATCATTTCAGCATATCAGTTCCCTGAAAGTTTGTGGTAATCTATCAATTTGTTTGTAATTGGGAAAACCGCAGGAGGAATATTCTTGCCTTCATCTTTTTATTTCTTGAAGCATCGATATACAGTCCTATATTGGTTTCAAATACACAACACAGTGGTTGTATTTTTACAACTAGCCGTGTTATTAAATCCTCACCCCCACCAGTACAGCAGTTACCTGTCAACATAGGAACGTGTTACAGAATCACTGGCTGTGTTCTCCATGCTGCACTACCATCCCGTGACCAGCTTATATTATGCTTGAGAATTTTATGCCCCTCACCCTCCCCACACACCCACCCCAACCCCTCCCCCATGATAGCCACCAGCCACTTCTCAGTGTCTGTAAGTCTGCTATTTTTGCCTTTGTTTTAAAACAGCCTCATCCAAAGTTAGAATCCTTGTTTTCCCTTGGCCAGCCCGTCGCCAGCCCTGCCTTGAGCAGTCACCCCAGAAAGGTAAGGACCTGCATGTTGACCGCCTTCTCCTGCCTTTTGGGGCATCAGTCAAGCAGAGGCAGTGACGTGGGCTGAAGCCTGTGTGTCCCCACACGTGCAGGCCAAAGAGGAGAATCATCTGGCCTTTGTCAGTGATTTGGCTGCAGAGGCTAAGCGTGCCCCTTTCACACACTCTGTCCTTTGACACACTGACTTTGGACTCTGCTTTTTCCCTCTTTCTCTTATTTGTTTCCTCCCACTGGAACAATCAATAGCACAGTCAAAGCTTATCTCCTTTCTACAAGGAAATTTGTTGCTAGATTTGAAAAGAACATACATTTTTCTTCCTCTTTTTTTCCATCTTACTAGTCCTCTTTTTCCTCTATTTCTTCATCACATTTTTACCAAAATGTCCGATGACTGTCTGCTGTTTGCCGAAGCACTGCTTTGGAGAGTGAGGGACAGAACAGAGCCCTTGGTTCTTGCCCTCAGTGAGTTGGCTTTCTGGTCGGAGAGACAGCCCCGGTGGCGTACAGAGAAACTCTGTACCCAATTCAGACTGCTGTTACAGGACAGCACTTGTTTGTCCAGACACTGTGGGAAGGAGTCCATTCCATGCTCTGCTGACTACTACGCTTTGCTGGTCCTGTAGGGAGATAGTTCCTGGGAGGGCGTGAGGTAGTGTGTACTGCAGAGTGGTGTTTGTGCCATCTACCTAGTGATGTGGAATCGGGGTATTGCAGTCATCAGGAACCCATGCTCTATGGGGAGGCTGCCTGTATTCAAATCCTAGCTCTGCTGCTTGTTGACTGTGTGACCTTAGCCAAGTTACTTAACCTCTCTGTT